TTGTACTGGGGGTACACTCTGACATTTACAAAAGTCATATCATATATCATAATTGAATTCACCCCCTCCATCATTCTCCCTTATCCTTGTTCCCTCATTCCTAGAATAGTTTCATGTAATCCATGATGTCTTGATCTAGATCTTGTTGATCTTTTTCTCTTCTGAGACATTATCATATTTGTTAAATAAGTGAGGCATTGAGACACGAGACATTGAAATAGACATTTTCCAAATAGAATTTCAGCATAATGGAGTGAGATGCATGGATCAAGTGAAAAAGAAAATGAAATTCTCCAGCTAGCTAGGGCATGACTTGGGGAACAGATACTTACAACTTGGATCCATAGGTGCATATATGGACAGGAGAGTTAACAGGTAAGTGTAATTGTTCTGTTTTGTACTTTGGGGCTGTTGAAACATCTTCAGTGACTTGTCAGGTAATTAGTAGCAGGCTCTTTTTTTCATGTGATTTTTTTTTGATATTGAACTTAAAAATAGAAATTAGACAAGCAGCCATAAGACCACCTCATCATGTCACTTAATCTTATGACAGTGCTTACTGAGAAAAAAGTTGAGAACAATTATTTTGGACTTTATTTTTTAAAATAATTAAAGCTGTGAAATTATCACTGCAATGTGTGTAAGCACATCATCTGCTAGTTCTTTTGATTTATTTTCTACATCACGTTCTTCTTTGCCATAGAAATCTTATCACTTTCAGACTTCTTAATACACTTTTTTCTTTAAAAATAGTCTAATTTCCTTTAAACTCATTCCTCCTTTTGCTTGTGCTAGACATCATGAATAAATTGCGTATGTATGAAGATGTCAGTGTGTATAGATGAACAATATGAATCAGAATACATTAAACTGACTCTGTCTGTCTTCTTTCAGCATTAGTTTCACAGCATAAATTTCCCTTATTTTTTTAAAGAAAAAAATCTTGTCACCAAAAAAAATTCTCAACTTTCTAAGACCAGTTTTCTAGGGCCATCGTCCAAATAAGTGTCAAAACTTGAAACTTAAGAAATGAAAAAAGCTTTATACTGAGAAAAGTTTCAAGGGAAAAATACTTTTTTCTTTCACACCCAGAGTCAGCAAGCTCTCCCCAGAAGTACTACATACAGCTTAGCACAGGGGCTTTGCTGCAGAGAATTGTCTATAAAGTTAATTTTATTTAGCATTGACTTTCATTATATAATTAGAGGCAGTTTTTCTAGAAGAAAATTGCCCATAAGTATAATGGAAACATGCTGAAGAATTGATTTTTTTATGTAAAACAGCTTTATGAGTCAAAATTAGCAGTATTTAAAATGAAAACATAATTTAAATACTAATGCTTAACCTTTTAAAGTAGTTTACATTTAACAAACATCAGTGAATTAATATTTGGTTTCTGTATATTTAATAATCAGCAGTCTATTAAAAGAGTAAGAGTATGGTCTTGCTGGGCCTTATGCAGTACCAGTATTGGTGGCGTTTTTCTTCACATTTAGCAGTCAGACTCCTGGAGGATACCTGCCACACTTCACAAGATAAGATAAAAGACAAGACGTTATTTTTTTGACATGAATTTATATTGGTTGATGAATTTCCTGATTTGAAGTTATTTAAATGAATTGGTATACAAGAAATTTCTTATAAATATGACAGAAGGATTCACAAATTTTTAAGTAGATAGAATTTCTACCAATATGCCAATTTGCCTTTACTTCAAATTCCAACATTTACAGGAAATACTGAATATGAAGTTTATTGTTTGGGGGGGGGAGTTTCTTTTTACTTTTTAAAAGATGGACTTGCTATGTTACCCGGGCTGGTCTTGAGTTTCTGATCTCAAGCCATCCTTCAGCCCATATTCTACTACAGGTGCGTGCCACTGTGCATGACTTGCTAGACATGAAGCTTTAATCACTTGAAGGAAAAGCAGTGACTGCCAAGTTATGAGCTCTTACTTCATCAGGTATTTTGTGGGAGGGGGATTGGAGTTTGAGCTCAGGACTTCATGCTTGCAAAGCAGGTACTCTACCACTTGAGCTATGCCTCCAGTCCATTTGGCCCTGGTTATTTTAGAGATGGGATCTCACAAGCTATTTGCCTAGGCTGATCTCAAGCCAAGATCCTCCCAATATCAGCATCCCAAATAGCTAGGATTACAGGCGTGAGCCACAGTTGCCTAGCTTCCATCAGGCATTTGAGAGACATGAGCAAAGGTTATACATTAAAAGTTCTAGTTCCACACAAAGTTCTTTCTGCACAGAGAATTACTTAGCAGGCTTCTTCCTTTCCTTCTCTCTTTGAAGCTCCAGTCTTCCTCAGAGGACTTGAGAACTAAGAGACAAAGAAAGTAAGCAAGAGGAATACAAAGGTGGAAGGATGAGATTAAAGCACTTTAGGTTTATAGATTTCAGTAACCTGGGAATTGTCACCAAAAAATAAATCCTCTGACTTTGTAATATTTTTTATTAAACATTAAAACAAATTAACAAGTAGCCCAAAATATTATACTCCCAAATGTTAGATGTGAGATAAGGCCATTAGTCTTAAAAATGTATCTATTAGCATTCCTGTTGACTAAAATATGGAGAGCCGTATTCCCATATATTATATTTGGAGAAGAGATACTGATATGTGTAAAGTATTTAGGAGCTAATGGAAATCACAATATACCATTCAATGGGAAAAGTTTCCCTGTGTCTTAACTTGCATCATCATTTCCAAAAATGCAGTTCCTCAAACCTGTTCATTTGAATATAGAATTCATGTTTTCTTTTTTAGATTTACAAAAAATGCTTAAATGCAACTGTCATAGGTTTTTCCCCCATACCTTCAATTATTATAGTTAGAATAATAGCAATTTTATATCCCCACAAATCTCTTAAACACTATTTTTTCCATGATCTAAATATCAAAATTGAAATAAATTAATCATTTTTAGTTTTTTCAAATAGCCACACTTGTTGTTTCTGAAACAATATGAAGTGGCTGACTGAATGTTTCTCCACATGAAACCTTTAGTGAGTTCAACCAGTTAGTCATTTATAGCTATTTTGCCTGAAAATGATTCTTTGGGTCAACTTTTGCAAAGAGTTTGACATTAAAGTTCAGCATAAGAGAACACAATCAAAGTTAACGTTTATGTTAGTTGTTTTTCAGTTTGAAATAATGAAATAGAAAAGTAAAAGAGAGCAGAGGCAGGGCAGGAAAATTAAGACTAAGAAGATAAGCATTAATCAAGAAAAGAGAACAGAGATTGAAATTAATGCCATGAAATCATGTGGCCAGATGGTACACTGTTTTTTTAAAAGAACTTTAACATAACCATTTGTGGAAGTATTTGTCCTTTCCTTCTCTAACATGACACCTTTTTCATATACAAGGTATAGTATAGATGTATGGCTCTGTTTCTGGATTCTTTTCTGTTTCATTGATCTATTTGTTTACTTCTGCTCAAATATTTCACTGTGCAAATTGTTAATATAATTTCCCTTAATATCTAATAAATTAAGTCCTTCTATCTAGTTTTGTTATTCAAGAACTTATTTGCTATTGTTAGCCTTTTGCTTTTTAAAATTAAGTCTCAGAAGTAACTTGTTATGTTTTACACATAAATTTATAAACCAATAAACCAACTTGGGAAGAGTTGACATCCGTAGAATGTAATGAGTCTTCAAATCCACTAACTTGGTATTTTCTCCACTTACATGGGTTTTCTTTAACATCACTAAAGTTTTATATTTTTTCTGGTAGAGTTCTTCTGTATCTTTTGTTAGCATTACTGCTAGGTGTATGTATCAGTAATAATATAATAATATTTACTAAAACTATTTAAAATGTTGTGGAGGTAGAAAGGAAAAAATCTAGATCTGGCTCATTCCTACCTATGGATGAAATTCTCATGAGCTCATAGGAGGGGCCCACCTACAAGATTCCCCAACTTCAGTAGTCCCTGGTTAATTTCCCTCTAAACTTCATTCAGGCATGGAACCAGAGCACAAGCTGAAGGCATCAGTAACTGCCTTCTGAATAAAGATAGTCTTGGTGCTTCAATATGCAACCCACCTCCCAAGATCTCACCCAGAACCCAGGGAGAGAGGGGTCACTGACTTTTCAGATCTTGAATATTTTTAAGTTGCCATATACACACACATATACCCCATACAAAAATGTAAATTTGTATATTCATATGTATATAGGTATATATATACATACATACATGCATATACATCTTATCCAGCATATTTTATTGTTTTCAGTGGGAAGGTTAATCTGAGTAATCCAATTTATTACCAGAAATTTTTAGGTGACATTTTAAAATACTTTTTTTCAAAACAGTTGTCTGTGCAAATAATTTTCTAGTTCTGGTTGGTTTTATTTAGTTGTTTGTTTTTAGGTTGAGTGACAGGCATTTCTCCTCCCATACTTCTTTGTACATGGTTCCTCAGCTGATCACAATATTTTTCACTTCCTATAGCTGTCTTTTGCTGAGCTGACTCTTATCTTTCAAGATAGTACAAGAATTATCTAAAAAAAAATTCCTACCCACTCCATTCCTAAACAATTAGAGTTGGACATTCTGCATGCACTTTATAACAAGGATACATTTAATAACGTAAGTGTTGCTGAGACACTATCCAATACAAATAAACACAAAGGTCAATGAGAACAGACATAAACTATAAACAACCAACACCAGTGGTGCTGAGTGAACACCAGCTCTGTACAAAGTATGCACTACAATAAGTTGTGCAACAGGATACAAAGACTGTCAAGGTGCTTCTCATGCTGTTCTATAATTTGCTGTTCTACAATTTACCTTTCTCTTCTGCTAATCTGTGAGATCATACCTACCATGGAATCCCTTGTTGCATGAAATCTTGGTGCAAAGGAAGTGTCAATAAGTATTTTTGAGTTAGGTAAAGGATGCTATATTGGAGGAACTCATTAAACAAATCACGTCCTATTACTTCACAGCTTTTTGCACTGGAAGTCCATGAACAATGAATTTATTTCACTCACCCTGTTGGAACACCTCTACCGAGCTTTTAAACAAATCCTGGGATAAAGAGTTGGTTTACCAAACCCCCGGCATTGTGGATACAGTAATCCTCCCTTCCATGATTGGGATGATCTGTTTAACAGGGCTGATTGGCAACATCCTCATTGTATTCACTATAGTCAGGTAAGGGTTTCTTGTTCTTTTCTTCCATACTTTAGGGGCACATTCTAAACTACCTAAATAAAGCAAATGAATCAGAAAATACAAAGAATACGGTAAAAATCTGCCAAGTAGATAATCATATGATCACTTGACATATTATTCCTTCATACTTTTTAAACAGATGTTTATGTAAGTAAATTTGGAGTCATGCTAAATACATAATCAATATCCTTTTTAAGCAATATTGTGTTTTCCTACATGACTAAATTATCCTTCCAAACTAATTTGTAACGGCTGTGTAATGTTTTGATTCTATTGTGGAATATCATAATTTATTTATCATTTCTCAAATTAATGAGCATTAGATGTGTCTGTGCTAATCATATGAAAAACATATTAGCCAAAGTCATCACAAATCTATGTTTTTGGTTTTGTTTTTTATGTTTGGGTCATTTGAGACAGAAATCTAGTGAAGTAAGACAACAGGAAGTCTGAAGATAAATTAAACCTAAAAAGAGAAAATATATTGAATAGTTAGAAATTTTTAAATTTCCTTTTGATTATATTTAAATTTCTACACTGTCACTTCCAATAAAGAAAGCAATAATAAATACAATATGTTACTTATATTGCTTCAGATTTCTCTTTTACTATACAGAGTTGCCTAGAAACAATTTTTTTGAAACAGGTTTTCTCTTTGTGGCCCAGACTAGTCTCAAACTGATTATCTTCCTTTCTAAACGTCCTAAGTGCTGGGATTATAGGTGTACACCACCATGTCCAGCTCCTTAATTCTTTTTGATTGCCATTTAATGACCATCATTGTTCCCTACCATATTATGCTATAACTCAGCAAATGATGTATACCTATTTCTCTAGAGGAGAGAAAAGACCTTGACTCCAAATGCTGCAGTTAGGACCTTAAGCAATCACTTAAGGTTCATACCTTTACGAGGTTCAAATGCAAAATCTATTCATAGGCTAGGGATTCTGGTTTTGCTTCTTTTTTTTTTTTTTTTTAGTGTGAAACTTTTTCTACTTATCCCCTTCCCTGTCCCGTTTCCTTCGCCCTCCCCCAATGATCTGGAGAACATAAGGGGTGAGACACCAAGTACAGTTGCTCAACTGCTCTTCTGGTTGACATGATCTTTTCCTCAAATCTCTTTTATCTTTTTGGTCATTCTGATGTGAACCACCAACATCCTGGACAAGGCGCCAACCTGTATTATTAGTAGCATCAACAATGACTCAGGTGTGGTTGCTGAGTAAGGACTCAGCAACTTCTCCACACAGTATATATTGTCAAGACCTGGGAAAAATATGGTCTCTCCCATGATGATTCCACAGCTTAGAAATTAATTTTACAGCCTGTAGAATTTATAGCCAATGAATAATGGAGGCATACATTAGCTTCCCAACACAGAACCATATCCCTGGATATAGAGTAAACCAGTAATTGTGACTTAATCTTTGGGCTTATCCTTATATGTAGCTCAAACTCTTCTTTGTCTTCAGTTCAGATATCACCTTTGTTAAGAAACCTTGTAGTAGTCTTCATGGGGGGAGGTGATAGACCCCTTCCTTTGCTTGTCTGTCTTTTTCTCATCAAATTGTAATGTAATTGTTTATTTATACATGTCTATATTATAAGCTCCTTAATGATAGAGTTTTAGAGTCTTTAACTTTGCCCTAGAGCACAATATTACGCCTGACGTATTTGGTGCTCAATGAAATGTTCGTTGAATTAATGAACAGCATCTCCCAAATAGAAATACCCATTTGTTATTGACTGTATCAGTTCCTTGAAGAAATGAATTTTAAATTTAAATTTCTGCTCTGAAAACACTCTTTTACTCACAGGTAAGAATGCTACATCTAGATAGTGCTGCACTCATTTCCCTGACAAGCCAGCAAAAGACATGAAATCAGCTGGGTGCTGTAGGATCAAATCTGTGATCCTAGCTACTCAGGAGGAAGAGATCAGGAGGATTGAGGTTCAAAGTCAGCCCAGGCAAATAGTTCACAAGACACTATCCCAAAAAAACCCTTGGCAAAAAAAAGAGCTGATGGAGTGGCTCAAGGTGAAGGCCCTGAGTTCAAGCCGGACAAAAAAAAAAAGACATGAAATCATAAGTGCCACCTACCAATTTGCTCATCTCATATTCCTCTCTGGACTGCCTGGATTTCTGACTCTATTAATGGTCTTTGCTATTGGGTTAGATTTTACTGGAATAATTCTAATTAATTGCTGAAATTTTAACAATGGCCTCAGCTCTGATGGGAAAATGAATTGCACAATGGAAACCATTTTTCACTGCTCAGTTCTTTTGGGTGCTAGGGATGAGTAAAGACTAAGATCTTTGCTTGAGTGTGCTTAAACTTGGTAGAATTGTGGCCGCATAGAAAATTATCCCCAAATTTAGTAGCCTGAGACAACAAACATATATTAACTCACATAGTTTCCAAGGGTCAGGAATCTAAGAGCAACTTAGCTGGTTGGTTCTGGCTCAGTATCTCTCATAAAGCTGCAGTCCAGTTTTCCTCCAGGATTATGTAATCTAAAAGCATGTGACTTGAGGATCTATTTCCGAGGAAGCTCACTCACGTAACTGGCAAGGTGGTACTGGTTGGCTGTTGACAGGGGCTTCAGTTCCTTCTATGTGGCCCTCCCCGTAGGTTTCCTTGAATGTCTTCACAGCATGGCAGATACCGTCCAACAAAGATAATATCCAAGAGAGCAAAAGGAAAGCACCACTGGACCTTTGTGTCTTAATTTTAAATGTCACCCATAGTTGCTTCTTCCATATTCTAATTGTTAGAAGTGATTTATTAATTTTAACACTCAAAGAGAGGGTATGAGACTCCATCTGTTGAAAGGAATACCAAAGAATTTGTGGACATATTAATTTTTCTTCTTTTTATTAGCATACATTAATTGTACAAAGGGTTACCCAGTGGTGTTTCCACACATGCATATATTGTGCATTGATCAGTTAGCCCTCTATCACTTTCTTTTCCCCATACGCCTCCCCTGCTTTTTGAACAGCTTTCAGTGAGTTGCTTTGTGCCACCTTCATGCATAGATACAATGTATTTTAGCTTTGTTCCCCTCCCCCATCATTCTCTTGCCCTGTCCTTCCAGTTCTTCCTTCCAGATAGCCCCTTGATTATAGTCATGTTTTTGTATGTATTTATGGAGATATATGGATAGATATGTATAAGCCCATAGGTAGATGATTGATAGATAGATAGATGATTAATAGATAAGTAGATGATAGTTAGATAGATAGATAGAATTTATTTAGGTCTAAATTCCACATACGAGAGAGAACATGCAACCTTTGTTGCAGACATACTTTTAAGCCATCACATTTAGTTATTATATAAATAGTTCAAAATGTTTAAATATACATTAAAATTAGGCAGCCTTTGTGCATCTGTGTCTTTTTTCCTTTAACTTTTAAAATTCATTAGTGCAAATCAAATTTTATAAAGACGACATATATTGAAGACGGCACATACTTCCAGTGTTAATCCTCAGTCTCCCTCCATTTCTTTTAGGTCCAAGAAAAAAACAGTCCCTGACATTTATATCTGCAACCTGGCTGTGGCTGATTTGGTCCACATCATTGGAATGCCTTTTCTCATTCACCAGTGGGCCCAGGGGGGAGAGTGGGTGTTTGGGGGGCCACTCTGCACCATCATCACATCCCTGGACACCTGCAACCAGTTTGCCTGTAGTGCCATCATGACTGTAATGAGTGTGGACAGGTGAGTGAAAAGACTGAAACATCTTGATGCAATTCAGAGCTACCTATCCTTCCCCAAGACCATTGCAATTTAAGCAACATTGGTGTTGGTGTATAACAACAAAGCTCTTCTCCTTTGCGTTATTGTAGAATCAATTACTTAGGAGCATTTTCAATGTTCATGGACATCTATTTTTAATGAAAAATGTAAAACATTAAAATCTCTTCCTTCCTAGTTTTTCTTTTTGACCTGTTTTATTTGCAATTCACTACAAGAAAAAGATCACAAAATCATAAAATATTAAAAACCAAAATGAATTCCCTTAGCATTCTTTTTGTTTGGTTTATTTATTCATTTATTCATATGTGCATACATTGTTTGGGGCATTTCTCCCCACTGCCCTCCACCCCCTGTCTCTCCTGCCCACCCTCCTCGCTTCCAGGCAGGACCTGTTCTGCCCTCTTCTCCAATTTTGTTAAAGAAAAGACATAAGCAATAATAAGAAAGACAAAGCGTTTTTGCTAGTTGAGATAAGGATAGCTATTCAGAGAGACTCCGAGCATTGTTTCCATGCACAAGTGTATTAAAATCCAAACTGATTCATCTCTACCTGACTTCTGTACTACTTCCCGGTCAACTTCCCATAGTGACCTCTCGTTTTAAGGTTACTATATTTGCCCCTTTACAGCGGGCACATCAAACACTTTCAAGTTTTGAGTTTCCTACCTTTCCCTATTCCTCCTGTATGCGTTCTCCCCTTAGCATGTGACCCATGTCCAATAATATTACTGCATTTGTTCTAGGTCTAAAGTCCACATATGAGGGAGAACATACGATTTTTGGCCTGCTGAGCCTGGCTAACTTCACTTAAGATGATGTTCTCCAATTCCATCCATTTACTTGCAAATGACAAGATTTCATTCTTCTTCATGGCTGAGTAAATTTCCATTGTGTATAAATACCATATTTTCTTAATCAATTCATCAGTAGTGGGGCATCTTGGCTGTTTGCATGACTTGGCTATTGTGAATAGTGCTGCAATAAACATGGGTGCTGCTGGTGCCTCTGGAGTAACCTGAGTCGTATTCCTTTGGGTACATCCCCAGGAGTGGGATTGCTGGATCATATGGCAGGTCTATGTTTAGATTTTTAAGACGCCTCCATATTGTTTTCCAGAGTGGTTGTACTAGCATACATTCCCACCAGCAGAGTATGAGGGTTCCTTTTTCCCCACATCCTCACCAACATTTGTTGTTGGTGGTGTTTTTGATGATAGCTGTTCTAGCAGGGGTGAGGTGGAAACTTAGTGTGGTTTTGATTTGCATTTTCTTTATGGCCAGAGATGGTGACCACATTTTTGTATGTTTTTTGGCCATTTGGATTTCTTCCTTGGAAAAAGTTCTGTTTAATTCAGTTGCCCATTTCTTTATTGGTTCATTGATTTTGAGAGAATTTAGTTTTTTGAGCTCCCCGTATATTCTGGTTATCAGTCTTTTGTCTGATGTATAGCTGGCAAACATTTTTTTTCCATTCTGTGGGTGGTCTCTTCAATTTAGAGACCATTTCTTTTGTTGTTCACAAGCTTTTTAATTTCATGTAGTCCCATTTGTCCATCCTTCTCTTAGTTGCTGAGCTTCTGGGGTTCTATTGAGGAAGTCCTTGTCTATGCCTATTGCTTCCAGAATATTCCCTGCTCTTTCCTGTACTAACTTCAGAGTTTTGGGTCTGATATTTAGGTCCTTGATCCATTTTGAGTTGATACTAGTACAGGGTAATAGACATGGATCTAGTTTCAGTTTTCTGCAAGCAGATAACCACTTTTCCCAGCAACATTTGTTAAAGAGGCTATTTTCCATCATACTGTTTTTGGAGCCTTTATCAAAAATCAGGTGAGCATAGCTGTGTAAATTTATATCCGGGTCCTCTATTCTGTTCCACTGGTCTTCATGTCTGTTTTTGTACCAGTACCATGCTGTTTTTATTGCTATTGCTTTGTAATATTGTTTGAAGTCAGGTATTTTGATACCTCCAACATTGCTCTTTTTGCTGAGTATTGCCTTGGCTATTTGAGGTCTCTTGTGTTTCCAAATGAACTTTAGGGTAGATTTTTCAATCTCTGTGATGAATGTCATTGGGATTTTGATGGGAATTGTTTTAAACATGTAGATTGCTTTTGGTAGTATAGTCATTTTTACTGTGTTGATTCTACCAATCCATGAGCATGGGAGATCTTTCCATCTTCTATAGTCTTCCTTAATCTCTTTCTTCAGAGATTTGTAGCTCTCCTTGTAGAGGTCATTCACATTCTTTCTTAAGTTTACTCCTAGGTATTTGATTTTTTTTTTGAGGCTATTGTAAATGAAATTTTTTCCATATATTCTTTCTCAATTTGTTCATCATTGGTGTATAGAAAAGCTAATGATTTTTGTAAGTTGATTTTGTATCCTGCCACATTTCTGAAGCTGTTTATGGTGTCTAGGAGTTTTTGGGTAGAGTTTTTTGGGTCTTTGAGGTATAGGATCTTGTTGTCCACAAATAGGGATATTTTGACAGTTTCTTTACCTATTTGTATTGCTTTTATTTATTCTTCTTGCCTAATTGATCTGGCTAGGAATTTGAGAACTATGTTGAATAGGAGTGGGGAGAGTGGGAACCCTTGTCTTATTCCTGATTTTAAGGGAAATGGTTTCAGTTTTTCTCCATTAAGTATGATGTTGGCTATAGATTTGTTATATATAGTCTTTATAAGGTTGAGATACATTTCTTCTATTCCTAGTTTTCTTAGAGCAGTGGTGTTGAATCTTTTCAAAGGCTTTTCCTGCATCTACTGAGATGATCAAGTGGTTTTTGTCTTTGTTTCTATTAATGTGCTGTATTACATTTATAGATTTGTGTATGTTGAATCACCTCTGCATCCCTGGGATGAAGTAGAGTTGGTTGTAGTGAATGATCTTTCTGATATGTTGTTGGATTCAATTTGGCATTATTTTATTGAGGATTTCTGCATCCATGTTCATTAAGAGATTGGCCTATAGTTCTCCTTTTTGGATATGTCTTTGTCTGGTTTTGGGATGAGTGTAATACTGGCTTCATAGAATGAGTTAGGCCATATTCTTTCCCTTTCCATTTTGTGGAAAATTTAAAGAGAATTGGTATTAGTTCTTCTTTAAAGGTCTGATAGAATTCAGCAGAGAATCCATCAGGTCCTGGACTTTTCTTTTTTGGGGGACTCTTTATTTCTGCTTCAATTTCATTTTGTGTTATAGATCTGCTTAGATGGTTATTACCCTCTTGGTTCAGTTTTCCATGGTCATACATATTTAGAAATTTGTCCATTTCTTCAAGATTTTCAAATTTATTGGAATATAGGCTCTCAAAGTAGTCTCTGATGATTCCCTAGATTTCCATGATGCATGTTGTTATCTCCCCTTTTGCATTACTGATTTCACTGATTTGAGTTTTTTCCCCTCCTCATTTTAGTCAGGTTTGCCAGGGGTCTGACGATCTTGTTTATTTTTTCAAAGAACCAGCTTATTGTTTCATTGATTCTTTGTATGGTTTTTTTGGTCTCTATTGCATTAATTTTGGCCCTTATTTTTATTATTTCTGTCATTCTGTTTGTTTTGGGTTTTCTTGTTATTGTTTTTCTAGGAGTTTGAGATGTAGCATTAGGTCATTTAGTTGAGATCTTTCTGTCCTTTTAATATATGCACTCATTGCTATAAACTTTCCTCTTTGGACTGCCTTTGCTGTGTCCCATAGATTCTGGTAGGTCATGTTTTCATTTTATTAACTTTCAGGAACCTTTTAATTTCCTCTTTTATTTCATCGATGACCCACTGATTATTGAGCAGTGTGTTGTTCAGCTTCCAATTGTTTGCATATTTTCTGCTGTTGTTTTTGTTATTGAGTTTTAGTTAATGCATTGTGATCAGATATAATACAGGAGGTTATTTCTATTTTCTCATATTTGCTGAGGCTTGCTTTGTGGCCTAAGATATGATCAATTTTGGAGAAAGTTCCATGGGCTGCTAAGAAGAATGTATATTTTTTGGATGTTGGACAAAATATTCTGTGGACATCAACTAGGTCCATTTGATCTATGTTGTGATTTAGTTCTAGAATTTCTTTATTGATTTTTTATTTTGATGACCTGTCTATTGGTGGTAGGGAGTATTAAATTCTCTCATTACCACTGTATTGGAGTCTATATGTGCTTTTAAGTCCTTTAAAGTATGTTTGATGAAATTGGGTACACTGAGATTGGGTGCATGTAGGTTGATAGTTGTTATTTCCTTTTGGTTTATTTACCCTTTTATTAGTGTGAATTGACCTTGTTTGTCTCATTTGATTGATATAAATTTGAAGTCTACTTTGTCTGAGATAAGTATTGCTACTCTTACCTGTTTTGGGGGGCCATTGGCTTGGTAAATCTTCTTCCAGTCTTTCACCCTAAACCAGTGTTTGTTTCTGTTAATGAGACTGGTCTCCTGTAAACAACAGATTTTTGGATCTTCCTTTTTAATACAGTTTGCCAAACAGTATCTTTTGGTGGGGGAGTTGAGTCCACTGACATTTAGTGTTAATATTGATAAGTATGTGGTGATTCCTGTCATTTAGTTGTTTTTGTTGTTTAAGGGTTTGTGTCCAGCTGAATCAATGTTATGCTCCAGTTACTTGTCTTTTCTTCTCTCGTGGTTTGATACTGCCTCTCTTCTTATGGTTTTGTTTGCTTTCATTTTCTGTATGCAGAGTTCCTTGGAAAATCTTTTGTAGTGGTGGCTTGGTGGTCATATTTTGTTTTAGTTTCTGTTTATTATGGAAGACTTTTATTGCTCCATCTATTTTGAATGATAGGTTTGCTGGGTAGAGTATCCTAGGGTTGAAGTTATTTTCATTTAGGCCCGGAATACCTCACTCCATGCCCTTCTTGTTTTTAAGGTTTCCGTTGCGAAATCTGTTGTGATTTTTTTGGGTTTACCTTTGTATGTTCTTTGTTTTTTCCTCTCTTACAGCCTTCA